TTTTTTTTTCAGGTTTTTCTAGAATATCAATTTTGTAACAAGGACCTGACATATAGATTTCATTTCTTTAACCTAAAGAGTTTTTGCCTAACCAAAGCTACGAGTTACTATGAATGTTCCCAAAGCTGGTGAAAATGAGGAAAATGTGGCGTAAAGTCGCAAATACATTTGTAAATGAAGTAGATCTTGAGTAAACTCCAGTAGCAGATGTTACGATATCAATATCGATTTCAAGTTGCCGGGGGGACATATTCCTTCCTAAAACTAATGGTATTCATCTTAGTTGTATTCCTAAGCACTACATTCTTTTGACTAAAAGTATGTGATGCATTGCCGTGAATTATTACGTAATTACGCATTAAGAGCAGCCACCTCTAATTAAATACAATTTAGCCCCAACCAAAATTATAGGACCTCACAATATGGCTAAGCCAGAAATTCTCACCGGTAGCCAGAGTATGAACAGCATCTTGAATAGCCCTTTGCTTAAAAAGTCCGGCTCAACCAATTTATGGCTCTATTCGGATTATTCCGATTTCCCCAACTCACTGAGTAATTTGTCAAAGCCCGAGAACGAGGTAATGGTTTTAAACCGCAAAAAATGTTATGCATGCCCACCTGGGCATAAAAGGGCTGCCTCGACCACAAGTTTTTTTTACAAGTCGTCCTCATTGGCATCTGCTACCTCATTTCAAGGAATGTTGCAATGCAAGTTGAGAGACGGGATGCCTTATTATGTTTTTAGCATCGAAGATACAACGAATGTGTATGCTGCTAGCCTGTTGAAAGTCGAGCCATCGGGTGATAACGGTTTTGACTATATTTACGATTTCTGCTCGAACGTAAAAAGAAAGGAAGAACTTGGTGATCAAGAAATCGAGCTTCAAAGCCTATGCAGGATGAAAGTTTCGACCTCGATCACATTATGTCCGAATAGTTCGTCGGAAGTTAAGGAGACTCGGTATGTTGTGTCTTTTTCTAGTGAGGATCATTGTATAAATGAGCTGAAAATCTCGCATCATTATAGGAAAAGGAGCCAAAGATTGGTGAGTAAGGTGACAAAAGTTTTCAGATCGAGCCACTCGTTTGACCAGAGAACTTCTGGTGTCATTTTCGAGGATTCTACTTGGGACCCATGTGAAAGTGTGGAGACGGGATTCGAAAACGAGTATGTGCAGAACCTAGAAGTCGCTGCCATTATAGTAAAGGACACGTTCAAGGATAATAGCATGGGGGGGTGGGGGTTGAAGTTCTTGAAAAAATGTGGAAAGGATGTGCCATTAACGATGATTTTGCCCATGGAGAGCTGCTCGACAAGTTTTGATGTTTTGATTCCAGCTGGTATTCATGGTGGGCCAAAAACGGGAGAAAGTAGGCCTGCAAATCTCGTTGAGAGGTGGATTTCTGGTGGCGTGTGTGACTGTGGTGGCTGGGATTTGGGCTGCCCACTAAAGGTTCTCAACATGAGGCCCAGTGGTGCAAATTCTTGGTATAGTATGAGGGACTGCAAGTCAATTGATCTATTTTTGCAGGTTTGTCAACACATTTATTCTCTCCCTCTCTGTTTCCGTTTTCCCCTTTTTTCGCCATATTCTGATGTAGTATGCTAAATTGAACGAAATTTAATGTGTGTTTGTTGTGATTGTTTGAACGGTATACTGGTTTATACCAAGATATGTTCTTTTGATTAATTACATTATAGGTTATTATCATATCTTGTCTATTCAATCCTTGAAAAACCATGCTATACAGTTAGCTTTGATCGAAAATTGTAATGTGTGATACTATAAGTGAACATATTGATATAACCCGATCAAATATAATAATTACGTTTTTATCAAAGTTCAGTTCTCTGCAATTTCATCTCTACTTTCGATATTCATCTTTTAATCATTTATTATGTTATTTTGTAAATGTCAAATTAGCCATAATCCTTCATATAATTATTTGCAGGGATCAAAAGAAGATGTGCCAATATTCAAAATGACGATGATTCAGGAGGGCTTGTACTGTATCCGTTTCCAGACGACTCTGTCTACTGTGCAGTCGTTCGCCATTGCTGCTGCAACTATTCATGCTCAAAGTCCTGTTCATCGGTAGAAAATGTATGATACAATTTTGTATAAATACAAATTTAGTACAGGAGATATACACAAAAATTACATGTCATGTTGTTGATTCATGCAGCAATATAGAAATAGTTTTTTCCTTCTAACTTAGTGATGTGAGGTATATGCAATTTTGGAGGTGGTCCAGTTTGTGCAGTTGTAATTACTACTGATCTGTCTTTGTAGAAATGTTATTCTATTTCTTCACCATGGAATACATTTTAGTCACCTATAGATGAAATATTCTGTGTTGTCGGCAAAGTATATTGAAAATCGATGCCGGTTTCAGTTTTGACACTATTTTTTCATCTCTTCTGAGGTAAAATATAGAACTTTAAATTTCCCCTGTAATATTGTCTTTGCTCAGGAACAGGTTATTATATGCTTGCTAAGGATTCTTGTTCCCTTGGGATGTTTCAGTTGGAGCAAATTCATAATAAACCAAAGATCTATGTAAAATCCCAAAGCAGAAAAGAAAAAAGCACAATGGATTTAAATTCTCTTAAGCTCGATATTGCCTCCTCATCAAAAGGAGATTCTTAAATTTTGCTTACGATATGTGAAGCCCCGTTTGCTTATTGGATTTTTCCAATTATTTTATTTGCATTATTATCTTTATTTGATATTAAAATGCCTAATTGATTTTAATTGCTTACTTGTTATATATATTTTAGTGTGTAATTTATATTATATATATATATATAGCCGGTTGATTATTTTAATTCCCGAACATTGTGCGATCGAACCAAATCATTTAAGTATAAGTCAAATCATTTTAGCTGGGCCCGATTCTTGTTTTTGCGCCGATGATCCCTCTTCGATGCAAGGAATGTCCGGCGACAACAGGCGGTGTGAGCGATTTCCGGAGGACCTCTGCGGCGGACGGCGGCGTGAGGCGGAGGAAGATGACCGGTAATATGTAAAAACAAAGGCTTGAATATATTGTACCCAAAAGTTTTCTAACAGATTACCTAAACACCTACTTCGATTAATCTTGGTGGAGCGATTAATCTAATCTCACTAACTCTCGAACAATGCTCTTTCTCTCGTGTATGTAGGAGAAAATCGACCAGCATGAATTATGTACAAGAGGTTGGGACATGGTGTATTTATAGGCATCATTAGGGACCTTAAGGTGGTGTTAAATATGGGCTTATCCTATTAGGCCAAGAAACCCTAATTCTACTCCATCTACTAATCCAATCTAGGATAGAATTCTACTACTACTCATCACCTTCTAGAAGACTCCCAAGTCTCCTAACCTTGGACAAGATTCTAGTACGAATATTTATTTCCTTATGGAATAATAAATATGGAACAAAATTAATTCCTTATTAAATGTCATTAAAAAATAAAATATCCCACTAGAGTAATATTATTGTCTCTCCCTATTTAGCTCCTAATTTGTCAATAAATTCGAACCTCCATGATTAAATAAATTTAATCTGATTGATCGATTTACCTCCCTATGTTTAAGATATAACGTCCGTTGATTAATTAAATTACTGACAAAATAATTAATCAACTTCTTATACATTTCCAAAATTAGTAACAGTCAGATCATTAACCATTATGTCAGACAATCGTTCACCTGCAAGGTTTAACATAATGTACCTTCTTGAGCTTATTTCAGGGACGCATTAGAACATAGTGACCATAAATAATTTATAGTAGCACATCATATAATCATTCTCATTTACCAAAATACCTCGTATGTCATCCTAATAAAAATAGAAATCACTTGGTAAATCAAATAAACAAGAAGTGAATATATATGCCTATTTTATATTATCTTACAGCTTAAGAGAACGCATTAATCACCGAAAGGTCTAGATTACAACAACGATCAGTGAGTCTCATAATCTTGTCCTTCCGCGGTCCTGTTCAATACTTATCATAAGTGCTAGTGTAATTCTTCAGTCAACGATCAACCGAATCAAGAATACACTACAGTCTTTTTCCAAGAGGGGTCTCACTGCATGTCTAGACTGTGAACGAATAGTTTAGTCTTAGAAGGAACTGATAGGTGATCTTTCTGTTCGAAACACCTCGAATAACATCATCTCAATATAAGACAAGGAGTATGATTTGCATAAATAAATAAATAAACTGCAAACATATGTACTTTGACTAAAACATGATGGTCACGTCAAAATGGAATCAATAGAATCTGTAAAACATAGCTTTTACAGCATATCTCTAACATGTGGAAGTCTCGAAACCTGTGGAAGTTTGAAGGTATTTGGAGACCAGAGAGGAACATTGTGCAAGCAGCAGTCACAGATTGGAAGGCATTTGTGGGGATGGGAGTGAACTCCATTGGCAGCACCATTAGCACTAGCTAGGTCTGATTGCATTACAGTGGCAAAGGGCTGATGTGTATCATGTTTAGTCTTGGTTTAGGTTGGTTTTCTTTGTTTGTTAGTTACTAGAGGTTTTAGAATATGTTGTCTGCCTTTAGTAACATTTGTGATGTGTTTTGTTATATCTAGACCGTACTGGGTTGTAGTATGGTTCTCCCTGGCTTTGTAGCCCTCGGTTTATTTCCTTTTATGGTTTCGGATGTAGGTATGTGCATTGTATCAAACATATATTTTATTTTTGGGTAAATTACACCAAACCCCCCTGTGTTTAATGACATGTGCGCGTTTCCCCACCGTGTTTTAAAAACTGCACCAGACCCCCTTGTGTTTAAGTAACCGATGCACACGTTCCCTATTTTCAATTTCTTGTTAACGGTGGTAATTTTTTTTTACAAAAACCTCGTTATACCCTTCGAATTATATATA